ACCTGCCTAAGCCCCTGATAAAGTTAAGCAATGCCCACCTGCCTAAGCCCCTGCTAAAGTTAAACAATGCTCACCTGCCTAAGCCCCTGATAAAATTAAGCAATCACAAGAAAAAAATCAAAACTGATAGCCAATTGCATTTTGACCTCAGTTAATATTTCATCCCCACAAGTTATTGAAAACATTTAAGTTAATATATTAGATATTTTTTCAGATGAACAATCAAATCTTGACTTCATTGCTTGCTTCTGATTGGCCTAAGCTTGATTGCCTTGTTTTGAATCTATGGCCTAGCTGTTTAACTTTATATCATAAGAATGATCTCATTTAATTTGCACCACTGTAAATAGATCTCTTTTAATACCTTGGGCATGATGTTTTACATTTAAAATATCATGTCATCGCTTGAGAATAAGATTATTTGTTTGAGTTGTATCCATATGCATGTGTTTGCTCATGCATAGGAAAGAATATTTAACAAAGAATGAATACTCTACTAGAGAATGGCATGTGGTCTGGAATAGGAAAACAAAAAAAAAGGGGGCCTAGTGCTAAGATTTAATTCAAATACTACAAACCTACAAATTGTAATAAATAATAATATTGATAATAGATAATTAGGGTCAAAAGGATAGATGCACTTGATACCTGCTAACATCTAAAGCTACTTACCTTATGGTGGTAAGGACTAACAAATAACTCATATCCAAGCAATCCATAGCCGTTGAAGAATAAAGTTTTAATCTTCCCGCTTTTCGATATTCCCCATGATTCCTTTAGATCCCTGTGTCAAAAATATATTTTAGATTGGGAGCCCTGTGTTATACTGTTTTTATCAGGACAAAGGAAGCCCAAGAAAGGTACTAAATAAAGGAAGGTATAAGTAATGCTACAAAATTTTTTTTWAATTTCCTTTGTTTAAAGTTGTTTTTTTTTGTTATTATGTGTCTCGGTACGCAATTTGGAGCCAATCCAAAGAGTTTTAGTCTTCAGTATGGGCATGGACCCACAAAAATAAGCATTGGGAACCCTGTGTCAATCATGCGTGCGAGGTAGATCTCCCATCATCGTTAGCGAGCTTTATTTGTTTCTAATCGAATGCAAATGAAGAAAAAAATATGTCCAAGAAAACTTCTCGGGATTTCCCTTGTCCACCGATTGATTWTACCTAAACTCATTAATTCCTTAGTCCTGATGCCTCTTGGATTTCCTTGGGTAAGCATGAATCACGAAGTATTATTTTCCACTTGTTTAGATTATTTACCTTGGTGTTTTTGTGAACGCTAATTTTTTTGTGTTTTTGGGACACAACCATGCAACAACCATGCATGTCCCATTTATTTATTTACTTTTTAAATTTCCTTTGAAACTTAACTTGGACATCAAACGTTGGCAGTCTTGCTATTTTTTTCCATTGCCTTTTTTTWAATTTAGTTTCGATAATGGATCTCTTATATCTTCAAAGATCGAATTATTTTTAGTGAGGGAACTTTATGCAACGCGAATGCAACGTAAATAATAACAAAATTCCTTGAAATTTCGATGTCATTCGCAACTTTTAGTACCAAACAAAYTGAATAGAAGTAGTTGATGTTGCATGGAACATGAGAACTTTGATCTTTGTATAATGTCAACTAGAATTTTCTCGCATTTTACATGTTTTTTCTTCTTCTAGCTACGGTTTGTATATTCACTCTGTCTTGCGTTTAACTTAAATGCTTTATAGAAATTTTATTATGTATTTTTCTTAAATAGTTCACATTATTTAAAATAGTCGTTAGAGGCATGAGTAGAATCAAAAAAAGTTATTTTCCTTCTTTTCAACCAGAGGTAAGATGGGGTATGATGTAGGAAGATTCCAAGGAGAGGTTGATGAAGAACTGATGTGTAGCATTTGTGGAGGCGTCCTTGAAGATCCACTTCAAGCCCCTGCTTGTGAACATGCATTTTGTGCATCTTGTATCCATGAATGGCTAAATCATCAACAAAGTTGTCCAATAGACAGAAGAAATCTAACTCCATTACAGCTTAAGCAAGTTCCTAGGATCTTAAAGAACCTATTATCTAAATTATTAATTACCTGTGATAACAGTTCTTTTGGATGTGAGGCTATTGTAAGACTTGATGGCTTGTATTCTCATTTATCCAATTGTCAACRTAACCCCAAAAGACCTGTCCAGTGTGAAAAAGGATGTGGTTTAGTTGTTCCATTTGATGAGTTAGTTCAGCATAACTGTGTACGAGAGCTGAATGTAATAATCCAAAATCAAAATCTGAAAATAGTTGAGCTTCAATCTCAAATTGATGACCAAAGACAGCAACTTAATGAACAAAAACGAGAACTTCGGGTTCTCAAAGACATGATGAGAGCTATGCGAGTCATTAATATGCCACAAGCTCTTCCTGCATTGCCCAACAATCAAAGACCATCTGTTTCACATGACAGCRATGAACTACGGGAATGGGTTTCAAGCTTAGAACAAGCAAGAGTTACTAGATGGGGAGGCATGATTTCTACCCCAGATGCAGTTCTTCAAGCAGTTATAAGAAGAGCTCTGTCAGACAGTGGCTGTCCTTCAAATATTATAAATGAACTAATGGAGAATGCGCACGAACGGAGATGGCCACCGGGGCTGAGCACTCTTGAGACTAGACAGCTTAATAGAAGGAGGTATGAACAGTATGTGTGTCGGCGCATTGCTGGAAAACAAGCTGTGGTGATCATGTCTYGTGAAAATGAACATATGGGAGAAGCTCTGACTTTAGATCCTGGTATTATTATGATTTTTGCACATGGGATAGAATGACACCAGAATTTTCAAAAAAACTCTGAAAGAAGTAGAGAGCTGCACTAGCTGCACATACCCTGAGGGGGGGGGGGGGTATGTGCAGCCAATAATACCAAGGTTCTAAGTTACAATTTCAGTACCTTAAAATATACCAATACCCTGTGTTTGCATGCTTTTTAGTTATAGAAAGTCAGTTAAATTATCCTTCAACTTTGTATATAACCAACCATTAATGGTGTTTCTCCTGTGGGACACCAACAATTCTTAGGCCCCAGGCCTCAAACTCAGTGCACTAACCAATTAGACKTTTCTTCCATGCCTCAAAACAATAAATGTTCAAAATTAGAAAGTATTTGCATCCATTTTTGCATGGATTAAGTAGGTGGATGGCATAATAGTTTACCTCTCCCCGCTGTGGTCTTAATTCAAGTCCCAGCTCAGTCTATACTAGATTTTTTGTGAGTTGAGTTTGATTTGTTGTCTTCCTTAACAGGAGGGTTTTCTCCAGATTCTCCAGTTTTACTGTCCATAAAAATCAACACGTGAGGTGTGTGTTGTAAATATAGAATGTAGTGGTAGTGCATGTGAAGCAAACCTCACAGAAGAGCCCAGAACTGGGAGTGTTGGTTGTAAAATATAAGTTTATATATAGCAGGGGCAGACCAGGAAGGGGGGGGTGACTATTACAAAGGTGGTCTTAAAAAAAAGTTACCTGATATGTAGGGGCATCTGCCCTCGGGGGTGAGGAGGAGGGGGGGTCGTTTCCAAACAATATACATTACCTTACRTGAAGGGGCACCTGAACTATGAAGGGAGGGGTGGTCTCCAAACAATTTTACCCAATATATTAGGGTGCCTGAAATATGGGGTGAAGAGGAGGGAATTGGTGCTTTACCTTAAATATAAGGGCACCTGACAATTATTATTATTGATTATAATTTTGGAGAAATAGATCACGACAACCACAATTCAAAGAATGTCCCAGTATAAAAACTATGGGCTACGGTCCATGCCATTCTCCTCATGAAAATAACAAAATACATTATATACACAGAATTGAAATATGGCAAAATAGCATAAAAGGGATAAGTCGCTAGTGGGTGACAACAAATCACAAAGGAGAAAAAAACTACGACCTAGGAAATTGGTATTAATCAAAAAATACACTAAGCAAAAGCCATATTATTTCTAGTTTTTTTCCTTTGTTAGGTCATGGGGTTCCTTTGTTACAATATTTAATTTAGGTTATGGGGTTCCTGTGTTACAATTCAAAATGGCGGACAAAGTTAGTACRAACAACTCGAGTTGGAGCTACCAGCTTGAAGAATTTCTAAAATACGCAGCTACTAACCCCAAAGATTTCCTAATATATGGTAAGATAAACCTTTCCACTTTATATATTTTTATTTTCCAACGAGTAAGTTTATAATTATACTATAGGGCTTTTGATAAAGTGATKAGGTGGTGGTTTCTAAGGCAAATTTCAGCAATACTGTTTTAAGGTTTAAAAAGTTAGTGTTAAATTATTTCTGTTTAAATTACTGCACTGCGAGGTAATGAATAAATGAATTTTGTCAAAGAATCTACCAAACATTTGGGAAACGAGCACGTAAGAACAATGCTAAAATTGCTTTCACGATTTATTGCTAAATTAATAGGCAGTGATCGCTATAGACACTCTCGCTAAAACCGGTCTTCAAGATTATGAACACGATAAACTCTCGTAAATCGCACATTTTCTAGTTCGATTTTTTTCRATCTTTTACATTCACACAGTCTTTTCGATATATTCTATGTATAAGTTTGCAGCGGTATATAATTCATATCATATATCATTCAACTGATAGCCTTTTATGGAAAGTGCCCCTATATGCAAGGCGCCCCTATATGCAAGGTAACGTTACCAACAATGCTGGCTAATTATGTTTAGTTCAATTAAAGAATTATACATTTTCACTTTTAGTATTTGTGTTTCTCACTCCATTGATGGTAATCTGTGGGATCTTATCCCTGAAACTAGCACATCATATAGAACAGAGAGAAAAAGAAAAGAAAAAGAAAGGTGAGTTAGTTTTTTCTCCATGTGTTTTCTCATAACTTTGAGGTGTAATCAAAGCTGAGTACAATTAGGAGAATGAAACAAATAAGGGCTATTAATTAGGGTTGGGGATTGACGGAGACTTGAAAGTTTGTAGTGAATATTTAGAGGTAAAAAATGTTCTATTCCTCCCCGGCCCAGGGGCATAGGCAGGGGGGAGCCAGGGGGGCCAGGYCCCACTGCCCCTGCATGGCAACAAAATGGAGGGTTATTTTAGAATTCATAGAATTCATAACATGTATTGCTGTTTTGGTTTTGGTTCAGGGTTTTGGGGACTCAAAGGAATTGGCAGATTTTTGAATTTGGGCCTCTACTTCAGAAAATCCTGGTTACACCAATGCCTCACTTTTCATCATGTTCCCTGTCAATCCAAAGTCTTATCTTTGGGAAGTATCACAATGGAGTTTAGCTTTTCTTTAGCTATGTAAAGAAAGGTTGCATGGCTCTGTCAATTTCTGGTTGACTAGCATTTTAGGAAGCTACATGTAAAATTGACTTACACTTTTAATAAGAGGGGAATCTATAGAAGATAAATATACTCATGTCATATACTCGACTTCTAACACTCACAAAGCTGTTATTTTTATCACTGCAGTTTCTTTTGGTTTAATTTATTTTATATATTCTTGGTTTGTAGCATGAATTAATAGCTCTACTTCAGTATKAAGATAAACTCAAGGACTGAAATTAAGGGTCATAAAGTCTCACTTACACAGTCAATTAGTATTTTTAATTCAACCCAAAATTCTGTGCCAAAAAACAAACAAACATGAGTAGGCTAACAATATCCAATCCTTTGAAGAGATAGAGGGTTGTCGATTCATAAATGATACTCTAGACCATGTAGCTTTCTTTGAACCCCTCCTCTATAAAAAAATGGATAAAGTTATTTGGATGGTATGCCCATGCTGAGCTATCAAAGTTTTTCTAGAGATTCAAGAGCATTTTTTCTTCTTTATYGTGACATAGCTACCCGACAATCAAATATGGCAAAGACAAAGAAAAAGTTAAAAGTCAAGTAGGATCTTGCAATGGTATGAAGATCAAGACCTTGTTATCTGTTTAATTTTTTTTTTTTTTTTTAAATCTTGTTTAAAGTGTATATGACACGAAAACATTCCATCATTTAAAATGTATAGTTTGTTAGTAATAATAAATATATCGTAACAAAATTTGTTTCAAAAGCTTATTTCTTGAGATATTTGCGAAAGTTAATCCCAATTTGTGACGTCATTTTGTTGACACGTACTCTAGATTCAGTAGTAATSTACTAAATATAAATTGTAATTCATATAAATTAACAACAAAAGACATATTTTAGTCAGCTTCATTTGATAGCTTACGTAGTACTCTTCCAATGTTGGGAAATTGAAAAGTGTACTACTTGAAATTAAGATTCTATATTCAAACATATTTCATGTATTTGCAACTAAATCTGGAGACTTGTAAACAAAATGGCGTCACAACTCGTGCTAAAATTTTTTGAATTTCTAGAGAAATACGTTTTTGGAACAAATTTAACCGTGATATTCTTATTAATGCCAATAAACTACACATTCTTAACATTAAAATTTTTTCGTGTCATATACACTTTAAGGAAACCTTTTCAAATTATCAATATGTAGAGGGGGACATGTTTGTTAGCTCTGCTATTGAGTGTCAACACGCACTCCTAATGTGCTGAACAAAAGTATATGACCACATTTTATGTATGCTCACGCATCTATGCCAGGCTTTTGCTACCAAAGGAGATTTTACATATATTGTTTGGTAAAACCAGCAAACTTTGCACTGAAATGTGTTAATTTAACATACAAAAGCTTGTGCATAAGTATATGATAATACATTATGGCTGGTCATACTTTTGCATGTCGTGCTGTCAATAAAGTTTATTGATTGATATTAACATAAACATAGGCTTAAWCTTGTCATAGCTCTCCTGAAAAATTTAAGAATTACAAAAAAACTTCTATCTTCATATCATTTTGGCTAATCCACAATTAAACTGTCTTTCTACCACCTCTTTAATTCTCTTTTACTCGTTTCACGGTGTATAATTTACCTTTTTATCATTACTGTTTCATTAGAAACACCGACACTGCTCACACTAGTTTTTAGCTAGTTATCTTTTCTGTCTTATAGTTACAAATGTATCACAGTGCATTGTAGTTTTAAAGGACTTAAGATAATGGATGGTCAATCACCCAGTGGCATGATTACTGGTCAAATAATGAGTGTTACTGGTCAAATTAGTTGAAAAATACATATGATATCCAAGGGCTCATACCAAGTGAAAAAAGACGAGAACTAGCAAAAAAAGGACAAATCACTTTTTTATGTCTTATCCTTTAGAAGTCTTTGTCTTTTGGTCATAAATATTGGGATTTCATGATGCTTAAAAGAATGTATTAGGTGTATATTTCAATCTTGCAATGTGATTAGCGCAATGTGTATAAAAGCTCACAATGCACTTTCGAGAATCAAATACTGCACAAATAGAACAACGAAATAAAAGGAACTATTGGGGAAAAAAAYACTTCGTTATTTGTGTCTGTTGTAAAACATTTTCATAGAAAATGTTAAATTGAAAAATATCAGATGATTTTTTAGAGGAGTTGGAAAATGCGTTAGTACTCAGTATCCCYTCGTGCTTTGTGCTAGAGATTTATGCTTGTGCATATTGGGTATTTGGCTAATGTAACTTCAGGAATGATAAATAAATAGTGTTAGACATAAATGCACAGGGATGAGGACTGGAGCCTCTAGAGAAACTTTTGATCCCAAGGGTTGCATTGATCAGAGTKCTTACATATGAGGAGTTACCCTTTCATTTCCAACTGTGGTTGCAGAGTCTCTGATGACAGAGTCTCACCACTATGTGGCTAAAAATCACAAATGAAAATTACTTCACCAGAGCCTTTGGAAGCAGGGTTATGCTTTTATAATATTGTCAAGTTAATATATAGAAAATAAGTTTCCACTCTTTTTATTCTCTAGTCACAAATCAATCTTTTATTTTTGATATCTCAATTTATGGACTTCGTACTGAGCTCTTAAATATTAATTTTGGTATAAAGTTTGAGACTTATCTCATACTGTAGAATTTGATCTTCTTTCCTTTCTTATAATCTTATTTACATTTCTTTCTATAAACAGATTTTGAACGTTTATTTTGAGCATTAGATTTGTACTCATTGCCTTGAGTTTGAGATTCATCGATCTGCAAGAACTGAGTGTAGGCGTTAAATGCCATGCGAAATTTATTTTTCAGCGCCTCTGATTGGATGTTGTCACTCTGTAATTCTTTCCAATGCTGTTGGCTTTCTTTTCTTTTTTGGTCATGAAGATGCACTAAAAAGTCCTCCTTTACCTTTGCGACCTGCCAGAAGATAGTCATTTTTTCTGATTAACATGTCGTAGATTTTGGTAGTATCTTAATTTTATGACAAAGATAAATGGGGTTCACCAACTTCGTTTTAGAGCTATAAGAGTTTGAAGAAGTGAAAAACTTGTTTTATTGATATTTGGCAGTAAATTTCACAAAGTTGTCAGTATAGATACATTTTACACAAGACCAATTTTATGGAATATTGAAACAAATTCATTTCTTGGACTGACCTACAAAATTCAGAGCATCTCTAACTCACAGATCAAATTGGACTTTTCATGCAAAATATTTGATATTAGCATGCTGCTTATTTGTTATTAACATTCATTGTTTTGCATGATCTACTACAGCAACAAAGTACTACTAGACTTAGTGTACTTGCTGTTGTAATTATTGTTTTTTGTTGCTATTGCTTTCGTTGTGTTTATTTGTTTTTGCGCGTTCGTTTTACTCGTTCGTTTTATTATTGTTGTTGTTGTGCGCTCTTGTTGTTTTTTTTTTTTGTTGGCGTTGCTTTTGTTGTGTTTCAGCATTATTGCTCTTGTTATTCTTGTTGTTGGGCGCTAATTTGTTGTCGTTGTTGCTGTTGCTTTTGTTCTGCTTGAGCATTGTTGCTGTTGTTATTATTGTTTTTGTGCGCTCTTGTTTTTGTTGCTGTTGGTTTTGCTTTTGTTGTGTTTCAGCATTGTTGCTCTTGCTATTGTTGTTGTTGTGCGCTATTGTTTCTGTTGCTGTTGTGTTGCTTTTGTTGTGTTGGCGCATTGTTGCTGTTGTAATTTTTGTTGTTGTTGTGCGCTCTTGTTTTTGTTGCTGTCGCTTTTGTTGCAATAATAATAAAGAGCTTTATTTTACCATCTCTGAAAAAAATGTACGAAGGTATTTTTGGTGCCGTTGTTGTTACGTTGCTGCTGCTGTTACYGTAGTTGCTGTTGCTGTTGGTATTGCTTACAAGTACTAGCACTGTTATTGTTGCGCTCTACTGCTGCTTTTGTTGCGCGGTGTTGTTGTTTTTGTGCGCTATTGTTGTTGTTGCGTGAATATAGTGCTGTTGTTGTCTTCAAAATGATTTCAAAATATTTAGCATACCTTATCTCTGATAGCAGGGAGGTAGTCAAATGTCATCACTTTGGCRTTTAATTTTCCTGGCAGATTATTCATCCTTTTACATCTTACCGTCAGCTCTACAGGAAATGGTTGAATTCTTTGGGATTTCCAACCTAAACGTCGAAACTTCTTTATTTGTCGTTCCTCTGGTGGTGGGCAAGGAAGAAGACGAGTAAGAGGAACAGGTAGCGAGTGACCACGATTCTGTTGCCAGGAAACCAAAAAAATGATACCAGTAAAACAAATCACTGTATAAATATTGTTATTTCAATGATTTTCGAAATTTCTGGAGTTATGATGGTAAATATGATCTGCATGATTTTTCAACGATTTTATACGATATCAAGAGATCATAAGGGTGTTTTATCTTGACGAAATGGAACTCCAACAATTACATGCGCAAACACACCCCACCGACCATCCCACCGTCATTAGTGAATAATGAAACTAGCTAAGCTGCATTCTCACACAAAATGGCTGGGACACCCTGGCTRGAAATTAAATTGGATTTTACTTACGTCGCKGTCCTCTACAAATGACCCTCAGTCGTGAGATAAATGAATAAGTGCCATTTATTGAATTTTACTTTTTTGTAAGAAAACCAAAACAGACTGACGATGATGATGACGATGATAATTATTATTATTGTTATTATTATTATTGTTGTTGTTGTTCTTGTTCTTGTTCTTGTTATTATTATTATTATTATTTGCTTATATTTTCGTAAACAGCGCAGATGAACATTTTTATGCTAACGTACGCTTTATGAGTATAATTATTATTAAATATTATAATCATAAAGTTTTGCTCACCTGAACATTAATATCGGTTGTATTTTTCACTGACTCTGGCCGGTGGAATCCATTATTAAAGCATGTTGTGTTGAACCTCAGTCTAATCCTACCGGGGGGAGGTAACCTCTTTTTCTTCGGCTTTTGTTTTGGGATGTGTTGAAAAACGATGTGAAGGGGCTCAGCGTATGGGGAATTTTCATGTCCCACAGCATGATTGGCCTCTCGGAGTGACTCCATGTGCTTGCGCATCTGGAATTCTGTCAGTCCTATTACTCTAGCCCCTGCTGCATAGTGTCCTACAACGTGGGGTGCTTGCGCACGCTTGTACTTTGTGTGATAATACCTGTGAACCCCCCCAAAAACCAAAACATATTTAAATTTTAAAAGTCAAAGCAGATTCAATGTCAGTAGACGTTGGCCGCTAAATAAAGGAAGGCTGTTTAATAGAAGSTAGCTGGCCGTTTAAAAGAGGTTGGCTGTTTAATAGATGGTAGTTCTACTGTATATCTGTAATAGCCGGCGTAGCGGCCCAAATCGGGGGGAGAGGGAGAAGGGGTGGGGGGCCTGTAGAGGTGCCTTTCCCCCCATTTCCCAATTTCGGCCGCTACACAGGCTAATCAGTAACTAATTACCCAACAATCTCGTCGATGGAATGAAGAGCCGATTTTTTCATAAAATTTGTCAAGGCTTCAACTAACATCGTTTCTCGTCTGCGGTATTGAGCACTTTTTTTGTCGTCCTCTTGTTGAGCATTATCTGGCACAGATATAGAGAATCKACKATTAAAGCGCGC